CACACACACACACACACAGTTAGATTGCAATAGAATTTCTTTATATACCACCCATTTTCTTATATGAGAAGGAATAATTATATCAAAGAGTTGGAGATTTCTTGACAGGATCTTTAGTAAGTTCTTGGTCTGAAAGCATTAACCACTTTAGACTGGATTCTCTTCACTCTGGAAAGTGTTTTCTTGGAATTTATGGAGAGGGGAGGTTTTATTATTTTGTGGGTCATGCACAGTCACATTTATTTTGCTGGTCTTATTATAAGACCCCAAATAATGATGATATTTAGGGAGTTTTATCTTCTTGACTAACAGGCTTGTGAAAATTCCATGACTTCTCCAACTTTGTTTGCCTTGGGCCCAAGAGGTCACCTGACTCAGGCTTGTCCCAATGCTCTTCTCTGGCTTGTGAAACCATCTGCCACACTCCTGGGTCAGGTGTTGCCCTCCACACATTCTTCCCCTTAGAATTCCCTCTCCTCATTCCCAGATGACCTCAGGTGCTTGGAAGTACGTTCCTGATATTGGTTTCTGCTGCCTGTCAGGTGAATGCCCTGTGTTATGGTTGATAACTGAGCCCTTGTCTTTCATGTCTCCTCTGCCGCCTCCATATGCCTACATCCTAGTCCCCAGTCCTCCACCCCATCTTAGCTGTTGCCATTGAGATGGATGAGAGGCTGCTTAACGTAGCACTGACTTACTTTTGCCCCATCCTTTCTTTCTACTCATAACCCTCTGTGGGTACCCTCATTCATTCATGTATTTATTCATAAGATACACATTCGGTGCCAGATTTGATTGTGGCTGCTTTGGACCATATTCAGATTCTGTCCTTGTGGAGATTGGCATCTAGTAGAAGAGAAAAACATTCATAATATGTTTAATAAGCAGTGAACAATTTTATAATTACGTATAACTTAATTAAAATAATGAACATAAGGGCTGAGAAGGTGGCTCAGTGGTAAAGCGCTTGCCTCGCACGTATGAGGCCCTGGGTTTGATTCCACAACACCACATGAGCAGACAAAAGCTGGAAGTGGTACTGTGGCTCAAGTGGTTAGGGAGCTAGCCTTGAGCTGAAGAGCTGATGGATAGTGCCCAGGCCCAGAGTTCAGCCTCCACGACCAACCACAAAAGTAATGACTATAAGCTTAATACATATAAATGGCAGGAGACAATAAATGTATGAGAAAATCAAGCTATAATGGCCTGTGAGCTCAGAGACTCACAGGTTGTAGCTACTGAAGTGACCAGGAAGGACCTCAGCGAGAAGGTGAGATTTGAGTTATTTGAAGGAGGAGGCCAAGTAGATATTGGGGAACAATTAGAGCAAAGCCCTGAGGTGGGCATATTTCTGTCTAGGAAGGAGGCCAGTCAAGGAGAGTTAATGTCAAGTTGGAACTAGGAAGTACCAAGGCCTGGCTTGTGTGAAGGTCATTACTGTAGCCATCCTGCCTGCTTGAGTAGGCTGGAAGCCAGGCCTGGAGGGGAGCTTCCTGCACATTTTTCATATATGTGTTATGCAGGCTCACCTCTGGTGGGTAGAAAAGGTCATGAGAAAAGTCATATTCTGGATATATTTCTAAGACAGGCCAAATGGAGTTGTGAGGTGAATCAAGTATAATTCTAGAAGTTTTGGCCTGAACTACTGTTAGACAGAGCTGTCATTCATTGGGATTAGGGGTGAAAGAGGCAGGACACTTTTGACTCTGGATGGCCAACGGCCATCTTCTGTGGAGTAGTGCAAGATAGTTCTGCCTACTTCACTGGTTACTAATAAGCATGGATTTATGATTGGATATCTTGAATGTTAAATATACCTAGGGTGTAAATTTAGGTTACTTTTCACATAAGCATGAGTTTATATAGAAATATTTATGGAGAATATAATAGTTGTAGTTGGTACAAAAGAAGTAGATTGGAGGAGACCATAGTAGACTTAAAGGATAGAGTCAGAAGCTTCCAAAGGCCCCAGAGAGAGGATTAGGACTAATGGGAGTAAACACTGGGGACTCTGGAAGAGTCAAATGGAAGCAAAATGAGCTGGAAGTTGTCCAGAGCTGAGACTTTTCAGTTGGAGTAGGACATAGTGTCATTTGATGTGGGTTGTGTCCTATGAGGTTCTTCTTAATGGTAAGGACTGAGCTCTCACTACATGTCTTTTTGCCTAAAATTGATTCTTAGCAAGTGTAGGCTAAAGAGTAAGAAATGAAAAGAATAAGGTGGAGGGGAAATAAACCTTAATGATTGAATGAAAAATCACTAGGATGCGATGAGGACTTTGGTCCTTTTCCATCCCAAATGGACCCAAATATGAAGGCAAACTCTTAGTACGTGGGGTTGGATTATCAGGAGCCTTGCTCTCAGGTGGTTGTCTTGAATATCTTTACCCCAGAAAGCAGAGGCTTGTTCTGGCTGAAGAAATTGGGTGCCCGGATCCATGGAACTGGCATCTGTCCAACACCTGGTATTATGATATGCTGGTCTCTAGTTATGGGTGGATGGCTGAACTGCTTTGTCATCCTCCTTTGACATCAGCCAAGTCATTTCCTAACCCTTTCCTAAAAATGACTGTGGGAGGTCGAGGGGAAGAAAACCAAGGCCATGACATACTTCATCATTTTCTGACCTTGACCATTAAACATTTCCTAGAGTTGCTTGTCTAGCAACTAAGTTGTTTGCAGTCTGTCTATTCTCCTTCATGGGATTCGTAGGAAGGTCAACCCTGACCAGCCTGGGGGAGGCCGATTTCCCAGGCACGTCTTCTGGTCTGACTGCTGACTGTGCAATCTCTCAGGTCCCAAGCATTCTGCTAAAACAAATATTCTTTATGTTCAGCAGGAGAACCATTCCCCACTGTCTGATTTGTCCTTCACATAAAGTTGTACGTTTAACTTCTGTTTACCTGTATATACACCATATCTTTAGAGGAAAATGCTTCGTTGAAGATGAATTTTGTCTTTTGAAAACACAGAGGTAAGTGACAGCTGTTTGTTGTTGTATCAGAGGCATGGCACATGTGCTTGATGGAGGCCAGGTGGCTCACAGAAGCCATCAGAGTGAAGTTGTAAACGTCTACTTGACACGTAAGGTGCTAGACTGGCTCTTGTTAGCAAAGGCTTGGTTCCCAATATCCTTTTCCCAGTTTAGGGATGGCAACAAAACAACTGAAAATCTTCTAGTGCCAGTCCTGAGGCTTGAACTCTGGGCCTGGGCACTGTCTCTGAGCTCCTTTTATGTAAGGCTACCACTTGAGCCACAGCACTACTTCTGGCTTTTTCTGTGATATAATTGGAGATAAGAGCCTCAAAAGCTTTCCTGCCTGAACCCATGATCCTCAGTTCTCAGCCTCTTGAGTAGCTAGATTTGCAGGTGTGAGCCACCAGCATCAGACTGGCATGAACATTTATAGTTCTACAATAGAATATTTTGTTAAAGCCACATGTTCAATTTCTTAGAATAGAATTAGAAGAAGAGCTTTCAATTGCATTTTCACACTGCTCAGCAGGAGTGTGGCATGCTGGGGTAGAGCCCTAGAAAACAGGCTAGGGTTTAGCTTCAGGCTGTGGGTGCTCTTATAACAGTTTCTGTGTGGATATCATCCTGGGACATGCTGCTCTTTCCTGAAGAGCTCTACAAATGAAATTTTGTAATTCTACAGTAGCTATATTTGTACTAAGCTGTTTTAAAATAGAGAATGAGGAGCCTGATACATCAAGAGAGTTAATTTTAGGGCAGAAGAAAAACAACTACTGCTGTAGAAGACTCCCTTGGCATCTACCAACCTCCAAGCAGCAGGGAAGAATGGTGTCTATGCCAAGATGGCCATATGCAAATAAGCTTAATCATAGGGCCAATGTGAAGATTAACTGAAGTGATTTATAAAGGTCAGCCTCTAGGAATAGTGTTTATGAAATATTTTATCATATAGTTGTCTCATACTATGTATCATATATCTCTGTCGGCAGGAAGCCTGAGCTGGAGAGAGAGTATTTCTAATTTCCATCTGAATCTCTCCTACAACAACCCTTGCTTGCTTGCTTTCAGAAGCTGCTGTGATCTTGCCTTCCCACTACATAGGGTTGTAAATGAGGTGCCTGGTTGTCTCCTTTGGTAGCATTCAGCCTGTGTCCGTATCTATAAACACAGCTCCTCAGGGCTCATGTAGAAAGCTGGCCTTTCCAGGTGTAAGCCCTCAGCTTCCATGCAGAGTGGAACACTGCAGGTACTGTCTTTCTTTCAGTCACACACACACACACACACACACACACACACACACACACAATTGGTTGGGAGCCACTGAACTGACAGGAACTTAACTCACCCCTCAGTACAAAACCCAATGGGAAAGACTTGGAAAAAATTATATTAAGTGAAGTAAGCCAGGCCCAAAGAAACATAGGTCCCATGGTTTCCCTTATTTGCAATAACT